GGGCATCGCGGGGCCGCCGTCGCCAGGTGGGCTTAGTCTGTTTGGCCGTGGGCTGCTGCTGATCAACTTCCTGTGCCTTGGCTGCGGTAAAGCACCGCATGGATTTTCCGGGGTTTCTTCAGTGATCCCCAAGTCACCATGGTTGTTTGACCTACACTAAGATACTAGGTCATGGTCATCCATGACTGGATGATTTGTTTTTGTTCCTTTTTTCCACTTTAGGACACCTCTATAGAAATGATACAGATGGGTAATTTTTGGAGGCACGCCCACTTTCAAGATACCCCTGGATACGACAGACCCAGTTTCACCAAATCCAGGAGTCATTTTGCAGACCCAAAACCAGATCATGAGTTTTCGAAAACCATGAACTTATGAGTTCATTGGCAATTATACCATTGGGTAAAGGAATTACCATTGGTTATATATATACACCACATTACCAAAATTTCCAGAATCAGAAATCTTAAGATAGGTCGTCAACAAGTTCCAAAAGAACACAGGATGAATTTGTCGAGCTCCCCAAGCGGGTCCAACTGGATCTGAAGACTCAAAAGTGGTGAAGGGAGTGATTTCACGCCTAAGATCCAACGGATATTCTTTTTGCCGCAACCTTTCAAGACAAAGCTCCATCAACTTTTTTAGAGTAAACTTTAGAGGTCATATCACTTTAAATAACATAACTATGGAAAGATCCACCATTTTATAGCTGGATAAATCCACTATTTCTATGGCCATGGCTTCAATAGCTACAATGTGGTGCCCCCAAGAAAACAGCAATATCATGTGCTTCCCCAGTTGTAATCCTTTGAACTTCCCCAGTTGTGCCGTGATGCCGTGGTGACCCTCATCCCAGGCCAGGTGGTCAGCAGCTGGGTTTACCACAGTACTGTGTCCTGATCATCCTTGGAATGGAATGGGTACCACATCAGACAGCTGATTACCCTCTGGTTATGTCAAAATAGCTATTGAAAATCACCATAGAAATAGTGGAATTTCCCATTGAAAATGGTGATTTTCCATAGTTATGTAAACGTTTACCAGAGGGTATCCATTCCATTGGTCAGCCTTGGTGGCATAGTGCTAGCCCCACTGAACTCTTGATTTAGGTCGTCACCTACACCCCGTTTTCACTCCTTGAGTACCTTCACACAACTTAGGCAGATCAAACTTCATCCAACTGTTCAAAGCTCCATCTCTCAATGGTGGAGGTATCAAAAGGATTCAAAAGGTATCAAGCTTCATCTAAATTTAAATGGTATCATGATGGTACTGCAGACCCTCCCCAGTTTTCTCCGGGTGGTTTTCACTGAGGTATCACAAGCACGGCCGCCATGTCTGCGCTGAACATTTTTCTGCTGATGTGACCTGGGGTTTTACTCTGTACCAGAGTATCCCAATAAACTGGTTATGTTTATGGGAAACATATGTTTCCCACGATGTTTAACCAGTGGAAATAAAGGGTACCAACGGGGGATGGGGCCAACCAAGAGCCATGTGGGCCAACCAAGCCACTGGCTTGTCCACAAGGATGGATGAAGTGCACTGTGGTCCCGTTGATGTAACCTTTGGAGTGACCCGTTTTGTGGCATATGGTAATGGTACCTCCAGTGCTGGGACTTCTCAACCAGACGGGCAACTTATACATGTATATATATATATATATCTGTATATATAATTATATCTATATGTTATATATCTGATTATGGCTGGAGAAAGGGGTAAGAAAAGAGGACCTGCACATGGTTTGTGATTCATTGTCAATTTTTCCGGCAAAAATCAATCTCTTGAACCACTGCCTTACTCCATCTTCATACATGGACTTGATCTGAAGGTGACCCTTCCAAGCAGCTAATGGATCCTAATGGGACAATGGACAACAGGTACCTGAATCCTCAAGCCTGTACACTTTTTACTTCCAGGTGCGTTGGATGTTTGGAGAGCTTTGTCGCTTTGCGGGAACATCGGACACCTCCTTGGCGGTGGCTTTCTTCGAGATTTTCCCTTTAACGTGGTGTGTCTAGACATGGTAAAAATCAATCTGGTTGGTGGTATACCTATCCCTTTAATAATGTTAATAATGGTTGATAATGGTTACTAATGGTTAATAATTGTTAATAATGGTGGTTATGGTTTGACCACTTTCCTGTTTTCAGAGATCCCTACGAATCATCCGTTACGAATTTGTCGTGGCTCCCGGGACATCCGCAGTTGGTCCCTACGGCCCTGATCTGTGTGAAGCAATGGTCCGGTGCGATGCTTGCGCGAAATGCCATGCAAACGTCATAAAATGGAATGTTGGCCGGGTCACAAGGGATCACAAATCAATCTCTCGACATCTCTCGACTCATCCTCAGATTCCCCAAACTTTTGAGGCTCTTTGACATTGACTTCAATATTCACTTTGGCACGCCGAGATGAACGAGGCCTGACCCAAAGCGTCCGGAATCAGCTGTGTCTCATCCTTTCCAGCCGTTGTCACTTTTCAATAGGGGAAAACAACGAGAAAGTACTACTAGCAAGTAGACTGTGGGCAAATCGGGGTCCAAGGCAGTTTCGGTAACATGTTGTTTCTATTATATAATTATATAGTCTATATATGTGTATACCTGGACATCCAAAAGCTGCATATTTTTTGGTCTGGACTGAAAAGTAGTGAGCGACCAAAAATCGAACAATTGCTGGTTTTGCCCTCTGTCAGTCACATTTGGAAGGACCAAAAATATTTCGCAAAATGACCCAGAAAAGACGCGAAAGACCAACTTTTTGACACCAAAATTGTGTAATTGAATCCATCACTCTTAGCCCAAAAGTGATTTTTAGGCCCGCACCCGAAAATCCACAAAGATCGAAAATTATGCGGCTCAAGGACTGTCCATGTATATATATATATACATAATATATATATATATACATGTACAATACACATACCAAGACCTGCATTCAGATGTTGCATCCGTGTACTATATGGCAGAATTTCTACACCATTCCCATATTCCCCGCGTTGTGTCCCATGATTTGCTCGGAAGCCTCCCCTCTCCGCGAGGTCCTTTCCAACGTGGCCTCTCCTTGCTGAGCGACGTGCCACTGCTGTTCTTGTGCCTCGACCATGGTGAAACTATGGAAACTGGTGGAAACTGGTTAACATTTAAGTCATAACCAGAGGGTATCCCACTATTATCCCACTATTATCCCATTCTTAACCATTATTAACCATTATTAACCATTATTAACTATTGATCAAACTAACATTTGGTGAAACTTTGATTTTTGATGGTCTCCCAGCTTGGTGGCTCATCCCATGACACCAGTTAGTCGTTGCATCGCTGTTAAGTCGTAGCGGATCAGCGCCTGCATTCCCAGGGCCACGAGGCTTATTTCATTCACAGATAATGACGGCAACCCAATGCCATAGACCTACCATTTGGGGATGGTTTATACCACCCATGTCTGGTGATTTTGATGATTTTGGGGATTGTTGGTTATTGGGTTTACCATGGTTTACCACATTATTCAGAGAAGAAGTTGCGAAGTGGTGTGTTCCTCCAATGGCTGGGCTTGGAAATAAGTTTCTACTTCCTGGATACCAGCGGGCTACAAGCACCCAAGGCGGCAAAGCTAGCGGGGAAGGCAGACGTTGACGTATTGAGGATTTGCACATGGTTTATCGGGGTAAATGGCACGTATTTTTCTTTCCCAAAACAATTTGGAAAATGCCTGCCAAGACGACCAAAGGACATCAGGACATCCTTCTCTTGTGGAAAGACTCAGATCCCGCCTTGATGTGCAAACCCAGGGTTTTATGCTAAAAAAAACATTCAGATTTTTGGGAACATCATTTCAGTAGCACACCCCATGCTTTGAGTACCTTGAGTACCCAATCTGGATCCATGTTTGGATAAATCTGAAGAATCTTGAGTGTGAATGTCAACCCCCGATTCCCAACCCCCTAGGCTGTTTCATGATGTTTCATGTACCATTTTGATTTTTAGTTGACACTGACATTCTACAAATGGCAGTGTGTCAAAACCAATAGTACCCCTGTAGTTCACATATTTCACATCAAAATAGCTGGGATTTATGGATGTTCATCTCCCTAAAAATGGTATTTTTATAGGTATTGATCCATAGCCATATTGGAAATCATACCCATATATATATATATATCATTAGTAGATGAGATTTATAGTTAATCCCAGATGATATCCACTAATATATTATAGTTATTTATATTTATATAACTATAAACTATATATGGACCCGACATGACCCGACTTGTGTCGACTCCCAGCAACCGGGAGGTCACTCGTGATGTCGACTCCCGGTTGGGATGTGCCACTAAAGTAGCTGACTGTGGTGGCCTAAGTTGTCAGAAATGACGGGCAATATCTTGTACATGTTGTACATCTTGTATATTTAGTATCTTGTATATCTTGTATATCTTGTATATCATTGTACATCTTGTACATCTTGTATGTCTTGTATATCTTATCTTGTATATCTTGTAGATAAATCGCTTTCAACCGCGCTTAAAAGAAACCCGCAAAAAGCGAACTCGGATGTACGAACTTTTGCCGTGGCTCCTCGCCTGTTTGGCTCAGCCGAATGGCTGAGCTTGCCATCCCCAGGGTGCTTGAAATGTGTCAAGCAGCATTCCTCAAAAAGATGAATGGACCTCCCCCAAAGAAGTAAAGTATGCATATATATATACATATGCATATGAATATATACGTATACATATATATATATATTAAATATATATATTATATATATATATATATGTATACGTATATATATATATACACATTGTATACGTATATATATATATATATACACATTACGGGGGGTTACATTATATTCCAACTTTGCGGTCATCATCATGGCTACATCCATTTTTTTCCACCCCAAGCTTCATCACATTTTCATCAGCCTTCCAAAGATCTCCATTTTTTTCGGGGAGCTTCCCAGTGCAACTAGCGATCTTCCCGTTGAATGAAGCCATGCCTTCCCAGCAGCCGGAAATGGACTTGGAGGGACACGAGGATCACTTGGAAGAGCACCTTCGGCTGCACCCAGAGTTGATGTAGCTTCGAAGAAGCAGTTCTTCTTTTGAGTACGTAATCAAAGTAAGCTTTCATCTAACAATCCATGAATTTCCATTCTTAAATCCCATCATCTCAAGCCTCCCTATTTTATGGTTGCTGGGGTCAGCTGTCAGTCCCCATCCATCCCCCAGGTTCTTCGATGCGCTGCAAGAGGACGCAGATCAGGGCACTTTGGGCAGCACCTTTCGCAGCCCGAGCCATGGACCGCGGAAGCCGCCGGCGCCGATGATGAGTTTCAGCTCCTTCTCCAGGCCAGGTGGCTGCGGGTCGTTGGGAGAGCCTGGCCCGGGATGCGGGAGATGGTGATGCTTTTTGTAGTGTTGGTTTTTGATATGGTCAGAAATGAGAGTTTTAAAAGCAGCAAACAGGAGAGTTTGGGAGGGTTTAAGCAACTGAAATGGGAGTTTAAGCGGCGAACATGAGATTTTCAGCAATGAACATCTGAATAGGATTTTATCCAGTAAACATGAACCATCAACAATAGGATATTGAATGATATTGGTCAACCAGAATGAGATTTCAACCTGCAAGAATGAGACATCAACTGACAACAATTTGACAAATGGGTATGAGCAGAAGCGTTGAGACGAACATGGGTGTCTTCGAGCAAGATCGTTGTGGAAAGAACGGGCATTGCACCAAGAAAAAAATAGCTTTCAAACAGCAAAACCAGATTTAGTACCAGTCAAGAAATAAGACAACGAGAATCATGGGCGATTGACTGGTCATTGTTGGGATCTCAATCATCTATTTTTAATAGATGTTTTTGATCCTCATCTCGATGGTGGCACTGATAGCCTGAAATGATGCTGACTGAGTCCTCTTGGCATGATGCTACCGCTGAGGGAGATTCTGGCACGAGAGGTTTCGAGCAGGTCCCCATTCCATTTCAAGATTGGCAGTGTAACTATCTGTCCTTAGTTTCACCGAAGAAATGTTCGTCCAGCCACACATCTTGGCTATCACCCTCAGGGTTGCTCCAACCTATGAAAAACTAACTTCTTCGCACATCCAGGTGATTTTGCCGCTTTATTTGACAATTTGACATATCTCAAAAGTATTACTGTGCCATGGTGATATTTGTCGGATAATAATCTACTGCTCCTTAACAGGGGGAATCAATCCATCGCGACCGGGATGAAAAGATACCCATCGGTCACCGAAACATTAGGATTCCCCTTATGGGGATGACCCTAATATCACTGCCATTTTCTGCATCCCATGATATCCCATGATATTCCCATGATATCTCCCATGATATCTCCATATATTCCCATGAAAATAGCCATGTATAGTGGATTTACCCATCAAGAAATGGTGGATCTTTCCATAGTTATGTGACAGTTTACCAGAGGGTATCTCCTGTGATGCCATTTTTATGACCCATCAAAATATGCCGGTGGTGCTGCGGCCGAGGAATACCTCCTGCAGTTCCTTCCAGGATGCCATGAGTGAGTGGGAACTGGAAGCCCCCGCGTTGCCACCCCCCAGGCGCCAAGCGGGCGCTTGGGAGTTGGAAGGATTTTTTTTGGACAAGGGGACCTCTATTTTTTGCATCCTGGAGGTCGAGGATCAAGGTTTTTGTGGATGAATATGACGAATTTTGATGTATTTGATCCGGTCTTCCAACGTTTTTCACTGGGACATCCATTGTTTACATGGGCATTTCCCTAAAAAAGGTGATCCCAGGACCTACCGGAAGATTCACCCCTTGAAATGGTCGTTTTTTAATGGGATAGTGAGGAATGACCAGTGGATTAAACAAGGGTACCCTCTGGTAAACTAACATAGCTATGGAAAATCACCATTTTTTGATGGGTAAATCCACTATAAATGGACCATTTTCAATAGCTATGTTTGACATAACCAGAGGCTACCTTGGTTTCAGACCTCCTTATCACCCCTATGATTTTCCTATAACTCAGTCATCATGCTGTCCAGAGTCCTATCGGTCCTATCGCCCACTTCGCCAGCAGGGTTGCGATCCAGTTATGTTACCAGCACATTTCAACAACACCAGGGAAGGATCTTTTATTGCACCCTGGTATCACCAATTTTCCAAGCGTTTGTTGTCTTTCCCTGGTGCAATCTGGGGCTACAATCAAACACAGTCCAGAACAAGCTGCAAAGCGGTCATCATCATATAATCATCATCATGATCCTCAATTTTGCACTTCATCCCCATCCCATCATCATCCCGGCATTGCCCCCTTATAGCCAGTAGAATCAGTAGAATTATTGGAACATCGCCAGTTGATATTAATCTGTTTTTTCTTTAAAGGCACACCTATTTGCTTTATGTATTAAGCCTTTTATAACCCCTTGAATCTCCAACCATCATCTTATACTATGTGATATATACATATGATACATTAAGAAACTACATTGAGAAACACTATGTTGGATCTCACATATATATATATATATGTATATGTATATGTATATTATATATATATATGTATATACATACATATGCATACACATGCATACACACATACATACATACATACATACGTACGTACATACATACATACATACCAATACAATACAATACAATACAATACAAGACAAGACAAGACAAGACAAGACAAGACAAGACAATACAATACAATACAATACATACAATTACATACAATTACATACAATTAATGTTGGCTGCCTAATAGTAATTACCCCCCCTAATTTTTTTATTTTTATTTTTTATTTAGGGGGGGGTCAACCTTCCTATAATAATTTTTGGGAATCTATAGCTGGGAGGCGGAAGTGGGGGCAGAGGTGGTGGAGGTGAAGGAGGAGGACGAGGAGGAGGAGAAGAAGGGAAGAAGGAGAAGAAGGAGAAGGAGAAGGAGGAGGACAAAATTGGAGTTGCGGAAAAAAGTTTCCACTATTGCCATGCCTGGTGCAGGTTTGTTATTGCTATTCTGGGGCTTGCAAAGGGGGTACCCTTTGTGGACCTGTTTTCTTGCTTTTTTTAATAAGGGTTTTATAAGGAAATCAGCTCTTTGGTAATTGGATCAGATTTCTGGAATCCAAGCTTTTGCTAATCAAAAGTGAAGGCTGCTTTGAAAAGGATTTGCTTTACTTGACTCTTTTGGCAATACTAAAAGTAAATGGAGCTAATTGACTTTAAGTATTGGAGAAAAAATTGGAGTTGGGAAAAAAGTTTCCACTATTGCCATGTTGGGTCCACTATTGGCCTTGCCCTCTGGACAAGGTCTGAATATGACTCTTTTGGCAATACTAAAAGTAAATAGAGCTAATTGACTTTTAGTATTGGAGAAAAATTGGAGTTGCGGAAAAATGTTTCTACTATTGACAAGATATCACTATTGGTCAGACAACATTACATACAATTACATACAATTACATACAATTACATACAATTACATACAATTACATACAATTACATACATACGTACGTACGTACGTACATACGTACGTACATACAGTAAGTTCGTTCGGTACGTTTGGGCGTTCAGAACGCGCGTTTTTTAAAACTCGCGTTCCAGAACGCGCGTTCTGAGTGAATCCTTTTTTCCAATGATATAAAGTCAATTTATTTCCGGGGTTTGAACAGAGAAACCTTTTTCCCCCACTAAAAAAAAGGATGTGGAGCTCTTGTGGGCTCAAAATGGTAGATGCAGCCACCAGAAGGCTGATCAGCGATCTGGGCCATGACTTGGACCTTGATGGGATATGTTTGGATTGATAATTAAGTGGATAAGTGGATAAGAGTTAGTGGGAAGGGGATATATGAGATATTAAAAGGCTTTTTCTAGGGTTTGATTCGATGTTGCTTTGTGTTGCTGAGAAGAACCGTTTGGACAAAAAGCCTTAGGTCGGGCAGGCCTAAGATGGAATCCTTTTTTTAGAGGCTTTAGAAAGCGCTGGGCAGGCCAAACACGGATCCTTTTTTTAGGGCCTTTAAAAAGCGCTCGGCAGGCCAAAGACGGATCCTTTTTTTGCCTGGTTTTAAAAGAATTGTGCAGGTTAAAGCCTGCAAGTTTTGCTCCTGGACTGCTTGAAAACTTCTTGAGAAACTCCATGTGCTAGAGTGGATCCTTTTTGCAGGGAGCAAAAAAAGGATTCGGACGCTTCTGGGATCCATAAAACCACTAAAAACACCCCTGCGTTCGGAACACGCGTTCCAGAACGTACGTTTTGCGTTCTGCGTTGTGAACGTGCTATAAGTACATACATACATACATACATACGTACGTACGTACGTACGTACGTACATCCATGCATGGCATGCATGCATGCATGCATGCATGCATGCATGCATGCATGCATACAGACAGACAGACAGACAGACAGACATACACACATAAGTACACACACACAATCACACACACATACATACACGCACATACATACATACATACATACATACATACATACATACATACATACACACACATACACACACATATACACACACACATACACACACACATACATGCATACAAACACATACAAACACATACAAACACATACAAACATACATACATACATACATACATACATACACACATGCACACATACATACACACACGCATACATACACATACACACATACATACACACACACATACATACACACACATACATACACACACACACACATACATACACACACAGACATGCACACACAGACACACACACACACATACACACATACACATACACACACACATACACATACACACACAGACACACATACACACACACAGACACACACACAGACACAGACACAGACGCACACACACACAGTCACAGACACACACACACAGACACACACATACACACACATACACACACAGACACACACACACAGACACACACACACAGACACACACACACACTACACACACAGACATACACACACACACAGACATACACACACACATACACACACAGACACACACACACATACACACACACATACACACACATACAGACACACATACATACGGACATACATACAGACATGCATACAGACATGCATACAGACATACAGACATGCATACAGACATGCATACAGACATGCATACAGACATGCATACAGACATGCATACAGACATGCATGCAGACATGCATGTCTGTATAGACATACAGACATACAGACATACATACAGGCATACAGACATACATACAGACATACACACAGACATGCATACAGACATGCATACAGACACGCATACAGACACGCATACAGACATGCATACAGACATGCATACAGACATGCGTACAGACATACAGGCACACATGCATACATGCATACATGCATACATGCGTACATGCATACATATATATATACACATATATATACATATATATATATGCATATATATATATACATATATATATATACATACACATATCAAAATATACCATCCCAATCCTGCGTTATAATCTGTAGGTCCTCCCGTCCCGGGCCGGAGCTGCAGCGGCCGCTGGACCTGCTGGGCATCCTGCTTTGTGCCGGCAGCACCGCCTTCGCCATGCCTGCGCCCATGGAGGTGTGTGCGCCGGATGCCGGAAAGATATAAAGACAACGACAATCATAATCATGAGTATGATAGTGGCAGTATTTTTATGATATATTATATTATATTATTTTTTATTATCATGATAATGAGAATGAATATGATAATGATAAACACATTCATCATCCTCATCATCATCATCATCATCATCATCATCCTCGTCGTCAGCATGTTTGACCTTCAGGCGAGTGATGCTATGCCGATCCTACTGATGATTTTTGCCTTGGCTGCGATTGTCACTTCACTGTGGCCACCCAGGTGGGAACACATCATGGAATCGTGATGTCGTGGCATCGTGGCAATAACTACCAATGAGAAACAGCATGGGTTTTTCACACGTTTCAACGGGAATATCATGGGAATATCATGGGAATATCACGGGAATATCATGGGGATATATGTATATATATATATACGTATACATATGTGTGTATATATATATATATATATGAAGGGAATGTACTGTAATGTAAACTCTTTTTTTTAATGAATAAACATCGCACATCACATGCCAATTAATTCAACGAAAACACACCTGAAAGAATGGTCGGTTATGATTCTCAATCACCAATGAATGTGGTGTATCAAACATACGTTTTATAACAAAAATCCAGATGGTATGGTTCCTTCCTTATTTGATTGCCACCTCATTTGCCAGGCTTCGCACGGCTTCTTCGTTGATCGCGGGTGGCTACCTTTATGTCCCCTGGTGCAAGTGGGCTTTGGCTGGGCGTTGGGCCACTGGTGAATGGGAAAATCCTCCCCAAACTTCACCAGAGGAGTTGTCCAGCAGGGGTGGTTTACATCGTTCTTGGCTTGGCAACCCAATTGGTTCGTTAAACCCACCTGTGGGATCTTTAAGGTGCGACACTGAACGAATGGTGAACTGGCAGTGTGAAGGTTTTCTTGTTGGGTCGCTGGACAAAGCCGAGGTGAAAAGATGGTACGGGTGGAATTCCTTATATCCTTCACTGGAGTGGATGGCTGCGGGAGTTGCTTTAGGCTGGGAGTTCTTTTGGGAAGTGTCATGGGAGTTTGGGGAACAGGGGGTTTTGTCCAGTGACTGATTGATGGAGAGCGGAGATACATGAACTACGAAGGATTATAATTTGGGATTACCAAACATGGGAAGCCAACAAGATCTACAATTTCATGGGCTACTTCAGCAGGGAAATCCCAAGATGTGAGATTCCAGCATTTTTGTGAGACTTTGTGGTCCTTTGTGTTCCACCCAATTGGGCCCTCCAACAAGATGGACGTGCTGAATTCCTTTGTTCCTTACCTACTTTTGAAGGGGCTGAAAAGGTTCTTGCGTTCCAGCCCATTCAGACTTTGACCCTGGGCTAAATGGCTGAATGGCCCTGCATAGATACCTGGGGCGCCAGTTTCAGTTCTAGCCAATTCCTGCAGTTGTTGAAGCTAATTTTTCTGCCATCCTCAACCATGCTAGCTTAGAAAGTCCCTTTTCAGTCATTGGAAAGTCATCTTGAACTGGGGACTCTCTCCATCATGATCCATAAATATACATAATAATATATGCACAATATTGTACAGATATGATATATAATATATATGTAATATATATAGTACATATATCATATATGTAATGCATAATAAAAATAATAATAATAATAATAATAATAATAATAATAATATATATATATGTACACATATTTTTTCAAAATAATATTATACATACTATATTGGATATGTAATGTATTATTATATAAATATGAATATATATATATATGCGTAATATGTAAATATCTATTTGTATAACATATATGTATAATATGATGTATAATGTATTTTATATGTAATTCATTATAGTATACATATATGTATATGTATATGTATATGTACATGTATATGTAATATGTACAATGTGATATGTAATATGTACATGTATATGGATAATATATTATGTATATATATATAGTATATTCTAACATTATGTATAATGATTCAATACATGGATGTTTTTGCCATATACAAACGCATGGAAAGTATTTCCAGACCTCCCAGTGGCAGGTCGTTTGTCGGTGAAGAGCGAGGGGGTACAGTTGGCCCTGGCTCTCTCCAGTGCTCTGTGGGGTTTGCAATTTGTGGAGTTCCGGAGGAGCTTGGGCAGCTTGGGAACTTGGGAATGGCATCCGAAAAGATAGAAAAAACTCAGTTTGATGTAAATATTCCACTTGTTGAGTTGGATGTTCTTTTTTTTGGGGGGGGCGGGGTTACTACGAAGATCCCATTAGGGGGGGCCTAAAAGATAGGGGCCCGTTTCGTTTTATTGACGCATGCGATGGCAGTCGCTTGACGCTGGGCCTGGGCTTCATTCTCTTGAGCTCTGGTCAGTTGCAGCTCGGCGGTGGCGAGTTTTGATGAGACCATGGTGGATATGGTGGACTCTAGCCACAATAAATCACAATAAGTTGGGTGGTTATACCACCAGAAAGAAA